CTGCGCAGATCAGGGTGCCAGGCGGGCGTTTGCACAGCAACCCGCCTGCTGAGAAAGGAGCCGGGTCTGATATAAGAAATGGCATCAGAGAGAAACTCTCACGCAGCCCACGACTAGTCAGTTATTCCGACTCCTAACTTTACACGTGAAAGCGCTTGCTGTCTTGTTCGCTGCCACTGAGCTCTGACGCCCCCTCCCGGGGCACAACCACTTGCACAAATCCTCCTGGAAGTTTTGTTAGTGGTAACCCTTTTCATTTGACAGCACCAGAAGGCCCGAAGGCCTTGCTGCTCTGCGGGGCGCTGCTGGGATGTCCCAGCAGACAGGGGCGGTGACAGCCGTGGGACTGGGCAGCCGAGCAACCCCGAGGAGCAGGGCACCCCCGCGGCAGCCGAGCGCCCCAGGCTGTGCTGTGCCTGGTGCGATGCCCGTCTCCACCCTCCCCCACAGGGCTGCCCTGCTGACTGGCCGGTTCCAGATGCGCTCTGGGGTTTACCCCAGCATGTTCGACCCCGACTCGCGGGGAGGCCTGCCGCTCTCCGAGCTCACCATCACAGATGTGCTGAAGGCTATGGGCTACACCACAGCCATGGTCGGCAAGTGGCACCTCGGCCTGGAGCTTAATGGCTCCTTCCTGCCCATCCACCAGGGCTTTGACCACTTCCTTGGGGTGCCCTACTCCCATGACCAGGTGAGAGGGCCTGTACAGCCCTGGAGGGTGTCCTGGGGCTGGTGGGCGGCAGTGCCCGAGAGGTGAAGCTTGCTGAGGGCACGTGGGCTGGGTCAGTGCTTGCTGGGCAGGTGGGTGTGGGCGCTGCAGGCCGGGGAGGTGGGTGCTGCTGGGGACAGCCTTGCTCTGAGGTGCCGGTGTGACACGGCAGTTTAGCACGACGTGGGTGACGGTCGTGCTTACAGACATACGCCCTTGGTCAAGGGACGGTGAGTCAGCTTCTGGGCTCCAAAGAAACATCTGAATTGCTGCCAGGAGAAAACAATGTTTGGGCAGCATGGGCCTTGGACAGTTCTAGGGTGGGCACGGGCCCCTGCTTTTCTGGGAGTGGCTGGCCCAAGGGGGCCTGGAGGGTGTGGGCTCCCCTCCCCTCCGTGTCTGGCAGCACAAGGCAAAGACAAAGTGTTATTTGTTCTCTCCAGGGCCCCTGCCAAAATCTCACCTGCTTCCCTCCTGACATCAGGTGCTTTGGGACATGTGACCAAGGCTTAGTGCTAGTCCCGCTGCTCTGGAACCCGAGCATCGTGCAGCAGATGGTCTCTCCCTGATCTGGTGCCACTCTACAACAAATTCGCCTGGGACTTCATCGCAGACTGTGCGCGCCGAGGCATCCCCTTCCTGCTCTACTACTACGCTTTGCACGTAGGTGGGCAGGAGGCTGCGCTGGGCCTGTGGTGGGCATGGGAGCCCTTGTCCTGCGTGCAGGGAGAGCAGGCACGCGCCTCGGCTCCTGCAGCCCCACGTGAGGGCAGCACTGAGCGGTTGATACCTGCCCTGGGATGTCCTGGGGTTGCTGTCTCCACATCTGGGTCTTGTGGAGGCTTTGCTGCTTCTCTGGGCCAGGAGTCCACCTGGGAAGACTTCCCACTCTGGGGCTCCACACCCTCTCGCGGGGCTCAACTCCTTTGTGCCGTTTCCGAGAGGTGCTGTTGAGGCCTGGGGACAAGTGTCCTCTCACCTCGTGGGCTTTGTCACGCGTCTCCGTGTGCCTGCTGGTCTGCATGCTGTCCCCGGGTGAGCGGGAGCCGGGCACAGCATCCTCTCTGCCCTTTCTCCAGCACACACACTAACCCCATTTTGCAAGCCGGGAGCACACAAAAAGAAAAAAAAATGTAAGAAAGTTGAAAGAAGCAGGATGAAGCAAAGAAAATCTGATGAAGTAAGCCATTGCTGTGTCATTTTTAAAATGGAAAAGTTTTTATGCAAGCTACATTATTTATTTCTGTGCAGCTTTGGCCTTGTACGCTATTTCTGGAAGTTCTTTCAATCGTTTTTAGAAGTCAAATGGGATAAAGTACACAGTTTCATGGATCATAACCCAGATAAAAAGAAGTACATAGAGGCTAGAATCTCTATCTGATCACATTTTATCTGCTTGAACAGCAGAGAGAGTTTTAATGTAAAAGGACCTTGATAAAGGTGACTGACCAATTCAGACTTTAAAAATGGGACTCCTTCACACAAGAATCTTTCAGTACAACCACAAGCAATGCTACAACAAACTGTTATTATTAAAAGAGATTTCCCATATTCTTTGGGAAAACCATGATTCATTGAGATCTTCAACATCACAAGAAATATTGGCCCATCCTTCAGTGGATGCAATAAATGGAATTCAACATAGATGGAATATAAAATTGGAGAAGCAATTAAAGCTGAATTTCAGACTCTCCTGTAGATAAAAGGTGCACACTTCTCCTTGCTTCACACTAGTTGCTTCACACTCCTCCTACTGCATTTTATTCTCATTGAATAAATACTACTTGTGAACCTGTAGGCCAGGAGCATCTACACCTCTGTCTGTCTATAAGAGCAATTGGGCATTTTCCTTAACAGGGTCCTGTTATGAGCTATACAGCAAATAGAACAAATGACCATGATGACAAGACCAGATTAATTCCTTGTGCTATTTTTTCTGCTTCATTCATGAACTTAATAAAATCTTGTGTTTTTTACTTATGAACATTATGTGAATATTACACTAGAAATACTGTTCAGGCTGATGAATATACTTCAGTATTTAACAAGGGTATTTAAAGCCCACTATGCTCAGTCTTTCAGTGCAGAAGGAACAGATTATATCACCCACTCTTACATGACATATTAATCACACAATGGTGATGTACAGAGTATATGGTAGAAAGTCTAACCTTTAACGGTAAGAAATGGCCACCAAAACATGACAAAAAAATGGAGACAAATTTCCATAAGCGAAAGTGATGGACTTCTCTTAAAGCTTGAATTCCAAGAGGAGAATTTCTTTTTGTACAGTATGCCTTTACCATGACAACAGTCATTCCCCTAATTGGTGCTTGAATGCTGATCCAGTCATTCAGAAAAAAAAATAGAGAAAATTATTTAATTCCGTAAGTACTTGTCTCCTATCGTGTACAGGTGGCTAGGACTGGAGCTTTGCTGAGCTCCTCTTGCAGTCTCAAAAGCTCACTGTCATGACTCTGAGAGCTCCCAAATGGCAGGTCGGTAAATCAGGTGAGCTCCTACCCATCATGTCCTAGACCCAGGATGAGCAAACCTGGCATTAGACCAGTGAGTAACTGATGTGCCTCAAGAGTTTCAAAAAAGTTTGATTAGCTGGACTAGAGCACTTACCTTTATGAAAGTAATCTAGCATTTTAATTCAAGTTTGCAGGCTTGGGAGGACATTGCTTGCATTGACTGAATCAGATCAGCAAAACAAGATTGGGTCAAAAACCACTGCAGAGCATTTATATTTTGGAGGCATTGATTTGCTGGCTTAATTCTCCTTTGCTACCCCTTTTCTCTCCCACTTCTTATAACTGTTGAGTGATTTTCCATCCATTTTGCTAAGGCAAAGCTGTGTCTGGTTAGGTTGCCAAGTTGCTCATTACTTTACTCTGTCTTCTTTTTAACTGAATATATCTTAACACAGCACCTGACTACAGAAAGAATGGTTATTTGGGGAGAGAAAGTTTTTACAGAGGATGGAAGAAAATACATTGTGTACTCTTTTCGTTTGTCCTTCTTCTTCATTTTATCTTTGTTTTCTCTTCTTATGCTGTGGAGATGCACACAAAATTTTTGTTAACAGTTTCAGGGGCAAATCCATACCTGGGCTAGACCAGCACTGGGAGGCAGAGAAAGTTGTGAAGGATGTCAGAGGTCAGAGCTGAGGCAGGAGCCCCTCAGGGAGAGAAAGATCCAAGTTTTTTACGAACAGTAGTCTGGATCACAGATTGATTGTGCTAGAGAAACACCCGATGGGCTAGAGTATTCTTCGTGGAAGAACATGCTATGTTAAAAGTTAAATTTAAACAGGCATGGATGGAGCCTTTTCACTAAATCGATTGAAGGGCAAAACCTCCATTAGACAGTCAAGATAAGAGCACTCACATCCATCCCACTTGCTTCTTAGTTTATTCATCCCATCAGCTTTGCAACAGTTACATCATATGGAAAATAGCTGCTGTTTTCTATCCAGAGGGGTTCTTTGGAGCTCTCCTAACATTATATATGTGCTGTAATGGAATTTGAGACAGTTAAAGATGACTGAGAAAAATTTCCCAGTAACTAATTCATAACATACTGCAAATAAATGGGTGAAATCTGCTGAGTTTTTTGAACAATAGTAAATCTTATGTGTGGTCTTCTTTCTTTTTAGCAAGAGGTATTGTTTGACCCCTGCCATTTTAAATTGTTAGATATTGAGAGGGGACAGAAATAATTACTTAGAAGTTGACATATGGGTATAGGTATACAGCCACAACTTCTTAAATGATACCACTGTAAATGCTCTTATTTTAAATATTCTCATTTGAGTTGGTTTCCCCCAAGCCAACAGCAAAAACCTTCAGCTTTCATTGTTTAATAAAAATCAAAAAATGCAAGTCAGTGACAGTAGTGAATATGTTACTGAAAATACTAATGGCAGGTGGAAACAAATAGAATGATTATATAAAACCAAGACAATAAAACCAGGAGAGTAGTCAAAGACTGTAAAGAAGTTTATGTACTTGGGCCTTCATTATCTAAAGGAGTCCCACTGAAACCTGCAGAGCCCAGCAAGGTCACCAATGACATAAGAGTAAGGCCGTTCAATACTTTGGACGTCTGGGCCAAAGATTTTTGTACTGTCAGATTTTTGTGATGCTAGTTAGTCCTCTGACAAAGACAGTCTTTTCGAGAATTCATGCTTACACTCCTGATAGTTTCTTATTTTGTATCCAAGATTAGAGAGTTGATAAATATTAAAGACCTTCTTAATAATGTTTTATTCCAACTCTGATTTTCTGCTTCACTTTTTTCCCATTAGCATGCCACACACACAGCAGTACGGTACATGGTCAGCAAAAGGGAAAAGTTAGTTCTGTGATAGTCTCTAGGGGTCACTAGGTCACATCTACACTAAATTCAAATGCTGTTTGTGCCTTCAAGCACAAACTCACCTCCTTTCCATACTGCTCTGGCACAAGTCCCTCTCATAGGCAGGATTTGGATAAAGGGAAAGTCATGCCTTTCATCAGTGCAGCATGACACTCCAAGTTGCAGCAGGGATATTGATTTACACCATTAGGACCAGCCTGGCCAACCCAGCACTGCCATTTGTATTAGTGTGTGGCCTGGCCAGCTTCAGGCAGACTGATGTGCTGGGCTCCCAGCAAAGCCAGGTTCAGCAACCCAAGCTCACGGCTGACTACACCAGACAAAGCCAATGGGTCTGAGCTGAGCTGGCTTCCCATGCCACTGCCGGATAAATTACACTAAAGCTTCTCCTACCATGAGAAAACTTAGTCTCCTGAGAGGCGACTTATCCCTAGGTTCATTTCAACAACATTGCTTCAGTATCCAAAACTTCTCTGAGAAACAATATGGCTCAGGTTTTTTTCTTCCCAGAGAAGGCTAGTTTACAGATACAATACACAGCATAGCAGGAACCAGAAACAATTAGCAGGAATCAGAAACAATTTCCTATAAATCCTCTACCCATTCCTTAAACAATGAGCTTTTAATCCTGGAGATACATAGATTTCTTTCTCCTGCACAAGCTTCCAGTCCCTAGTCCAATTAAAAGACAGGATTTGTGCAGTTTGCTCAGCAGTTTTTCTTCACTGTAAAGACAGAATCACGTTTGTATTATTTGAGGGAACTGATCAACAGCAATAACACGGGCACTATGGGATCTCCAGATCCTCAGGGATTATCACTGCCTTGAATTCATAGACATTTCTATCAAGAGTGAAGTTTTACATTTTAAAATTTTTATTACAATAATATTTTAAAAGTCATGGCATGTAGGTGAAGTCCCTAGTGACTGGAAGAAAGGAAACATCACCCCTTTTTTAAAAAAAGGATAAAAAGGAAGACCCTGGGAACTACCACCCTGTCAGCCTCACCTCTGTGCCTGGGAAGATCATGGAACAGATCCTCCTAGAAGAAATGTTAAGGCACATGGAGGACAGGAAGGTAGTTCAGGAGCGTCAGCACAGCTTTACCAGGGGCAAGTCCTGCCTCACCAATCTGGTGGCTTTCTGTAATGAAGCAACTGCACTAGTGGACAAGAGAAGAGCTATGGACATCATCTATCTTGGCTTTGCTAAGGCCTTTGACACTGTCCCCCATAGCATCCTCCTTTCTAAGTTGGAGAGATATGGATTCGATGGGTGGACTGTTCAGCACATAAGAAACTGGCTAGATTGTCACACCCAGAGTGTAGTGGTCAATGGCTCGATGTCTAGCTGGGCAAAAGTGACAAGTGGTGTCCCTCAAGGGTCTGTACTGGGACCAGTGGCTATATCTTCACCAATGACATAGACAGTGGCATTGAGTGTACCCTCAGCAAGTTTGCTGATGATACTAAGCTGGGTGGTGCAGTTGACAGGCCAGATGGATGGGAGGCCAGCCAGAGGGACTTGGACAGGCGGGAGAGGTGGGCTCAGGTGAACCTCATGAGGTTCAACAAGACCAAGTGCAAGGTCCTGAATCTCGGAGGGGCAACCAACGTTACAATACAGGCTGGGAGAGGACATGTT